CTTTCCTGTTTTCTCATTAAAAGCCTACTAAAACTTTAAAGCCCTACATGGCTTTTGTCCAGACTATTTGAAAAACGTATCTCCTTCTACGAGTCTGCCTGACTTTTAAGATTTTCAGGGGAAGGTTTCATCTTTTCCCCACCACCATTACAGGTGAAGACAAAGGGACAAGCCTTTTTGTTGGCTGATCCCAACTTGTAGAATTGTAGAATTGCCTTCCATGGGACATCTATTTGGCTTTGTCTGCTTTCTACCAGTATGCAAAGATCTTTTTATTTAGGCAGGCCTTTGGTTTTTAACGTCCTGTGACTAAAGGATCTATTAATGTAGCATAATATGCTTTTGTTCTTTTTACTATGTTTTAATGTTTTAGACTGCTTTAGTATAGTGTTTTAACAGAACTGCTTATTTAATGAGTTTTTTTAAACACTTTTGTATCATAGGTTTTAACTGTACTTTGTTTTAATTTTTGTAAGCCATCTTGGGTCGAATACTAGGAGAAAGGTTGGTTAATAACAATAAAATAATAATAATCATGAACTCAAGAGGTAACAGACTCAATCCAGACAAGGCAGAGGCTGGTTCCTCAGTTTAGATGAATGTGATGGAGCCTGTCTTTGGAAAAGGTTGCATTTACCCCAAAGGAAAACATGCATAGCTTGGGAAATGCATTTGGATCACCATTGTTGGTTGGCCCAATAAAGGTATCACCATTTGGTGGATTTTGGATATTATTGTACATTGTTATGGCTGGATTCAATCAAGTTTTTTTTCCCCTCTCTCAACTGATGTCCAGTTTTCACATCAATACAAAGAAATCAGAAATACCATGGTATGGATGATCCTGACTTTGGTGTTAACAATGTATCATTACTTTTGATTATCTATTTGAGACTTATGTATAAATAATAAACTAGCAGTGGAAACACACTACGAATGTAAAAATTCCACACTGGTATCTCCTTAATTGACTGGCTCAGTTTTTGAGAAATGAAATAGAAATCTACCTCTAACATGCCAGAATAACAAGCTTAAGCACATTTAAGTGAAAGTAAATCTCAGGGCCAAGTCAGAAGATAACATTAAATGTGTGGTCAGATTAATTTTACTGAAGCAATTATAGGAAGGCTTAATCCAAACTGTGACTATAACAAAGGGGAAGGGGAAATGAAACATAAAGACTTTGGGAGAAGAAAGATTTTTCTGAGAAAAACAGGGTGAGGTTAAATTTAAAGCTTGCTTGGGATCCTATTCCCTCCTTGTCTCTTCCAAGCCTGTTGAAGGGAAGAGCTGACCGTATATCCCACAGCACCTGCCATTCCTTGGCAGTCTCTCACCCAAGTACTAACCAGACCTGACCCTGCATAGCTTCCAAGCTCAGATGGGATCTAGTGCCTTCTGGTATTTAGGCCATAACTTTAATAAGGGCTGCAAATTAATGTGATAGTTGACTCTTCCCTTCTTCAGGTTTACCATATGTGGACTGAAGCCTCTGCAGGTAGAGCCATCCCATTCTTCCCATGGCAGTGTGTGCGTACGGCCATATCAACATGGTCACACACACATTGTGTTGCCATTGAGGATAATGGGACTTGAAGTCCTGTTGAATTTGCTATATGCAGTGTGTGTGTGTCTGGAATGGAACCCCTGCAGATATGAAGAGCCAACAGTATGTGAAATAGCTCATATTCTAGAAGGCTATTAAATGAATTTTCACACCTATTTAATAAGGTGTGAAAATCAGTATCATTGCCTTCTAAAATGTGAGCAACTTCACATGACACAAAAGTAAATTTGGTTTTGTACTGCTCCTTGACTAATCTGTGGTGCACCTATATTTGTCACACTTTAAATTATAGGTGTTTTCCTAAAATGTAATCTATGAAAGAACCCTGTGGGGTAGATCTGCAGACAGATTTGGTGATGAGTTGGGAGAAGCATCCAGGTGACCCTTGCATCAGATATCTGACTCTGCCTGGTTTTTGGCCTGATTGTGAGACAGAACTCTCTTGGTCACCCTGGTGGGTGACTTGGGCTGAGTAATCGATAGGGAGAATGCAACCCTTTTAATTTTTTCAGACATCTTACCATTGTCTGCAAATACTGAACATATGCTTTCTGTTTGCTCTGATCAGATAGGACTGTGAAGCATAGCATTACAATGGTTCCAGTCCTTCCTTGTGACATGCACCATCCCATGGAGAGATGGTTCTGCTCTGTGAAAATGGGTCCAACAGACAAAAAAGGAAAGTGAAAAAACCATGGATGACAGGTAAAATGCTACAAGCAATAAAGGAAAGAAGA